TCCCTTGTCCTGGAGCTAAGGCCAATTCTCCATGAGCCACTCCACTGTAGGCCAGGGCCACAGAGAAGCTGCGGGGATCTGTCAGTGTGGGGGCAGCAAGATGCAGCCCCTGCACTGAGCCTACCAGTAGTCACTGGTCCAGCCCCAGTGCAGGATGTGGGGAGAAGGGGCAAGGAGACCATTTCCAGGGTTGCTGTCCTAGAAGCTTCTCTGAGGGTACTCATCCTTTCCCATCTGCTGCTTCTCCCCTGCCTCACCCCTCTGCTCCTCCTCTCCCTGTGAAGTTTGACATCACTTTTCTACGGAGAGCAGAGCGAGAAGGAGAAGTCCCCGTCGGAGAGCAGCCCCTTGGATGCCGACAACAAGGACGTGGTGAGTGCTGGTGTCTGTGGCAGCAGGAGCCCAGGCTGGGATTGTCCTGGCCCAGCCCACCCTGCTCTTCACCAGAAACCTATGTCAGAAGCTAAGTGGGAGAAATTAAACCCTCCAGCACAGGGTTTCCTGCTTAAAAACCTTTAGCAGCAGGATATTCCTGGGAAAACTGGAGGGTTTCTTTGTTCTGGCTGGCTGTGGGGCATCCACCTTGAACGTCAGCTCAGAGGGGATGCTCCTGCCAAGGCAAGCATTTCCTGGCTGCGTGGCCATCCCTGTCGGTTGTGGGGACCTAGTCGGATGCACGGCTGGACCCTCGCTGTGTGCCCACAGGGGACCTTTCTGGTTCCAGCAGGGCAGAGTCTCCTGCGTCACACCTCCACCTCTGCCAGTGTGGTGGGCTGCGGGGGCTTTAAAGGCATCTTTTGTTTCTCTCTACCACACTGGGCACAAACCAGGCTTTGTTGGAGACACATTTTGATATCTGTTTCTTTCTCTTTTTTGGAAGCAAAAGCTCAAAAATCAGTCACTGGTGTGACAGTGAAAAAATTATATGACTTATCAAAAAAAAACCCAAACAAACCTAGGCAGAAAAGGTAAAGAAGCAAAATCCTTGTGACAAGAGGCCTGTTTAAAGGCTTGGTACCAGGTACTCTGAGCAAATGTATATTGCTCATCAAAAAATAAGTGAGAAATACCACAGGGAAAGCCAGCATGGCTAAAGAGCAGATTAAGGGAGATTATTAAAAGTAAGAAGACATCCTTTTAAAAGTCAAACTGTTCCCAAGTGAGGGAAAGCTAAACTCTGCCAGGTTAGATGTAAAATACACTAAGCAGGGAGGGAGGAGCCGTTTTCAGGAGAAATTTATAGACAGCATAAAAACAAGTACTGGATTTTTCTTCACACATCAGGAACAGGAAACCTGCCACAGGGTTTGTAAGGGTGATAGATGTTGAAGATAGAAAAAGCTTGCTGGAGAAGGTGAGAATGTAGCAGAAGAGCTAAATAAAGTTTTGGTGCCTATATCCACTGAGGAGGAGCTTGACTAAATTCCTTCCCGGGAGCCCTTCTCGGTGGGGAGGCACCGAAGCATCCCTCCAGCAGTGGGTTTGGAGGATGGGGTTGTAGTAAAAGCAGCCTGACAAATTCCTGTTACCATCACAAATTCCCAGGAGCAGGCACAGAACTTCTCACTTGCCCTGAGATGAATATTGACTGCAGTGTGTAACCTCTCTCCCACATGTGGGAGTCCTAGAGAGTTGGGATTAGCTGATAAATGCTGTTTCTTCAGGATGGTTTCTGTAAAACCCAAGAAATTCCAGCCCAGGGAACTTGGGGTCTGCACAGACGACCTCCTAGACGTGGTTCTCCAGAGCAGAGCTCTGGAGCAGGGTGCAAGAGGAGAGTGAGCCTGGCTGTGCTAAGGGGGTGTCTGGCCCCCATGGAGCTGTGTGGGGCATGGGGATGCCTGCATCTCCAAAGCCTCCAACTGCGGTCGATGAGATGAAGCTGAGCTGTGGGGTAGGAAGGAAGGTCCTGGTACAGGGAAAGCCATGGGATGCAGAGGAGGAAGAGGCTGTCAGCTCTCATGGGGCAAGGTAAGGGAATCCAGGGGGCCAGCCTTTGGTCCCTGCTGTCTAAGATCAGCATAAACCCTCAGGAAAGGGGTGAAGAGGAGGAGCCAGATGGCTGAGTGTTATTCAGTACAACCGTGACTGTGAGGGCTGCAGAGGGATCTTGAACTTGCATGAACTCTGGTGTCATTAAAACATAAAATAATTCATAGGGGAGAAAACCCCTAATATTGCACAGGCAGTGACTGGGAATGAGCTGTTACACAAGCTCTTATGTTTTCATATATCATTCTACAGCAGTGTCAGCTAAGCGCTTGGTAGGGGCCAAAAAAGCACATTGCTTGTTAGGGAATGTCAGGGAAGGGGCAGAGGAGAGAGTAGCTGGAAGCCAGGAGCCTGTGTTACAGGGATGCCTCGAGTTTTCTGCTCCTCCGCAGGCAGCTACCGTTGTCACCACTGCAGACAAGCCACCAGGCTGAACATCTCCAGGCTGCCTTGGGCACTAACTCCATTCACCTAGCCCTCCCAGCATGTGTCCCCAGTGTGTGTTATGTCCCAAATCCTTGCTGGGGAGGTGAAGGTGGTCACCCCCAGCTCATCCTGACTGTTTTCCCTTCCAGGGTTTCTGCTCCTGGCTCATTTCTATCTACCAGATGAAGTAAGTGTGTGTCCTCAGTATCACAGCCGTGCCCCACTGCTGCCTGCCCCTGGGGAGCTGGTGCCCATGGGTGGTGACCCATCACCAGGAGCTGCTGGGACCAGTGGCGGAGGATAGCCCTCTTAAAACACACACACACCCCACAGATAGACCAGAGGGCTCACCTCTTTCTCACCTTTTCTCCTGGCCCCTGGATTCTGTCCCAAAGAAAAGGGCTTCAACCTCCTTTGATAGGATTTGGTCCCGTAATGGGATGGCGGCCTGAGGGCTGACTGTGCCCCTTATTTCCTCTGTGCCCAAATCCCACGTGCCACAGGCAGGAGGGGGGGGGGGTGGTGGGGGGG